ACACGTGTGGGGAAAATCTGAAAAAAAAATTCCGTAGAAAATTTTGCTTATCAAACAGCCAAAAAAGTGGAAAGTGAAAAATATTTTCCTACTTCCCCGAAAAATGTGGCCTATCAAACACGGCCTAAACTTAATGAGCAACATAAATCTTTTAGATTAAACATTCAAAATGGCCACGAAGAGACCAATGAAACTATAAGTAATAGTGTGACATTAGTGGTGGCAAACAGGCCGAGTGGCTCGTTGGCTCGACTCATGAAAAGTCGGCTCGGGCTCTTCACGAGCAGAGCCCGCTTGTCTATGGGCGAGCCAATGAGCTCGTCCAAGGCGTAGGGTTTATCTTTTTTTTTTTTAAAAGGAAAGTTTATCTAAAAAAAATAATAATAATAAATGACGAGCTCGTGCGCATACGGGGTCGAGCCTAGCACCTCTATGAAGCATTGATCACTTGTATATCTCAACATGAGCATTGACGTTTAATCATTCTATAATAGTTTTATTCTCAAGAATTACACTAGAGAATGAGTTTTAAAATAAATATAAAAAAGTTTTAATTTGCAAGTAAAAACGAGAATAGGTAGAGAACATTTTTCAGTATTTAAATTTTAACAAGTAACATGCCCCTACTTCTAAGCCCATGTTTGGATAGCATTTATAAATTCTAGGTTTTAATGCTAATAATAAAGAAGTACAAAATTCAGCCACTAAATCATAAAATGATAATAACAATTCTCAGGAAAATCCTCAAAACATGAAAATTAGAACATCGTATAAAAATAATCATAAATTAAAAAAAATTCTCGATAAAGAAAATTAAAATATTTCTATACAAGCAACTCGATACAAATGATCAATTAAACATAGGATTTGGTCAAAAGTTTTTATGATGAAATATAACATATTATTATGCAACATCACTCGAGGACACTTCTTTTCTGGGCCCCTAAATCTAAGAAAAGTTAGCCTGTATCTTAAAGTTTGCAGCACAAATACTCGTATCAATGAATTTTGCTGCCATTATGATCAACATAATAATATCAACAAATTATCATCTTTACCTGGAGTATCATCATCAACATTAATTTTTCATGATCGAATCACATTCCCCCTGCCCCCTGCAAAAAGAAAAAGAATAAAGATTGGTTGAAATCGGTTGTCTTGAAGTCTACTTTTGTTCGACAAACCTGTCTTGTCTTTACCATCCGATAAGAGGGAAAAACGGAGTCAATGACAGATGTATAGAACACAAGATGTGCTTTCAACTCTCAAAATCAAATATGTGGTCGACATATACGTCATGGTTCCTTAATCGACATGTACATATATCTAAATAATTTAGATATTCCTAGCTACTTTTTCCGACCTATTTTTGGATTATTTTGTGATGATTCTCTCTCTTTCTTCAAACGACAGGTAATTGTAATAAACTCTTTTAAGGCATGTTGAGTATGTTATGCTAGAAATCAAGCTTGCTTTTACATGCCAACATACTTGGTTAGCCTGGGACCTCAGAAACCTTTTAAATTATGAAGACTAAATGAAGAGGTGCCGAAAAAGATGTAGCAAAAATGAAAAACAGAAATGTAGTAGCATAACACGAGGCAAGGATAGTGTCAGTGTGAACAATTCTAACTGAAGAAATTAAGAATATCAGCAAACCAGTTCACCAACTCAAAATAATAATAATAATAAAAAAGAAAAAAAAAAGGTTTCACGTTTAGGGAAGGACATTATATGATACAGACATAACATGTACCTCTCAAGTGCAAATGACCTTGTGTTCAATCTGTCTCACAATAGATATCTTCTAGGTCACTTGTAGAAGAAGTGCAGAACGACCTACACCAATACCGGATAATAAGCTTTAATCCCGTGCCACCTAAAGAAAATGTTTTAACACCCCCCAACAATTAGCTAGATAACATTGTAAGAGCAATCTAGGAAATAAGAGATTTACAATAAAAGGGAAAAGGATACATAGTTAAGTAATTAGGAAAATTAATCATACAGAAACGAGTACTGGATTCTCGATGATTAGTTTGTCCTTCAGTAAAATGTTGTAAAGTCGGAACCTGGTAAAAAAAGTTCACATACCTGAAGCGGATCAACTGTTTGACATATGATTTCATGTTGGAAGCAAAATGGATTTTTTGATGTTTTAAACGATCCCTTTTCACACAGAATTTACGCACCCGGCCTCAATAATCGAGTTTTAGTAGTAACTCCCAAGTCCTCAAATTAGATATCTACAATAAAGTTTTCCAGGATGATCCAACTGCTCTAGCATATGCTAGAGCAGCACAAACATACTACGAACAAAAGAAAAGGGAAAACATATTGTAATTTCAGGAAATTTTCAAAAACAAATCTTTAAATTACAGGGAAAGCGGGTCATAATTCCTATCATTTTCAATATATAGACAAATAATAAAAATTGATGATAATTACACATACGAGTTCCGCAAACATGACCAGAAAACTATAGTTCACGTAAAAAACTCGTAAAAAATAAAAGTTCGTTTGGGAGAGATTTTTTTTTTAATCACTTTTCCCCAAAATTATTTTCAACCACACGTTCTATAGGATCCATAACATCTCCCTACTTTATAACCTCACATTCTCCAAAAAAAAAAAATTCACTCTACCAAACAAACTCTCAAGTCGAGTAGCTATCTCATCTTTGAGAGGTGTTAATATAATTTCCCAATGAACAGAAGCCAGTAACACATCAAATTTCCAGTAACCATTGTTTACATACGATGTGAGGCTTTCATCATTAGCCTCAGAGCTTACACCTCGAGCCTTAAGCCTCATGACGCTTCTACCAACTTCTACTTTTTGGGCTGTTTTCTTTTCATAGTCTAGAATGCTTCAAGTGTTTTTAAGCTCAACCTCTAAAACTAGAAAGGAAAGAATTGAAACTTAGAAAAGAGAAGGTGAATCCAGACTTGCCCTGGCCTCTTACATCAAAAATGCAATAAGCACCCAACTACATTTCTGCTCTTTTGGAACGTACAGTTATAAGAGCACACACAACTCCAATATTTTCTTCCTTTTATTTTTCTTCTTGTCTCTATTATCATTTTCATTTTCCTAAAACTTTCAAGGAAGCAAAATTCCTAAAGTTGGTTAGTTGATTCATTTATTGCATAGTCGATAGTTAATTTCGAAAGTGGAATGAGTTGGTTTAATTATAAGAATTTTGGGTGAAAAATGACACGAAATTTTATTGACACAGGTCAAAATGACAGAATATCAAGACAGTCAAGAAAAATATATCATGGGGCCATAATTAGAAAGACGAAAAATGAAGGGACATGCCCTGGGAAATAACAAATCCAGACTCTGAAATCTTGTCACAGATCCATGTCATAGTCATTGCACCAAAAATCAGCACTAAAGTCATCACTGTCACATGTTTTGCCCTGAAAACAGAATATACGTAGCAAAGCCAATTTCATCATGTCAATAAATCAGCCGTTTGAAGATGATATGAAACACTTAGGGTCCGTTTGATTGCAATGGTGTAAAATGGATGGAAAGAAAATGAATTACAGAAAATTGAATTGCTTAGAAATTGTTTTACTGGGAATTATAATTAACTGTGTTTGATTGGTATAATTTTCCATCTGAAACGTTTGGCTTCGTTTTTATGAAAATTGTCAATTAAAGAGATAAATTTTTTTACAATTGGGGATAAAATTTGTTTAGATTGCTAAAAAATTTAAAAATAAAAATTGAAAAAAAATTGGAATTCGTTTAGCTTTGTTTTACATGGAAATTGTCAATTTAAGGGATAATCTTTTTTACAAATGTGGATATATTTTGTATCCATTGCCAAAAAAAAAAATATGGAAACCATTTTCCCACCTAAATGGTGGGAAAAAGAATTCAAGGAAAAGCTAGAAAGTGTCATGGGAAAAAGAATTCAAGGAAAGCTAGAAATTGTCACCATATGAGAGAAAGGGACAATTCCAATTGCCAAGAAAAAACATGCTGTCAAACACCAAAACGTGGAAAATGGAAAACCTTTTCCATTTTCCATGGAAAATCAACCATATCAAACACACCCTTAGTGACGCTCACAAGTCAAAAAGCAAATATGGATACCTTTTCCCAATAAAGAACAAAAACAAGAAAGAAATATGAATAATATACAAGGAAAATGTCCCTACAGTTGAGTTGTATATAGGAACATTCTAGATCAAATCCATCAGCTCTACTAGAAAACTAGATCCAATCTGCAATTAGAAGTTGCAACTGCTAATCCTGTACCTGGATCGATTAGCAAAAAATTGATTACTCTCTCTCTCTCTCTCATAGTTTTTACTACACCCATTGTTTCAACGCCAACATTTTCTCGCTCTTTAGATGCATACAAACACACTACCACAGGTGAAAAATGATTCTTTAAAGTCGTATTACCAAATTATTTGCACCATTGGATATAAGAAAAAATATAAAAGAGTAGACTAATATGATCAAAAATTAAAACATCAACGCGAACTTCGCATTTCCACCTCACACCACCACTCAAAAAAAAAAAAAATCCCTCATAAAGGGGCATGGATATATTTCCGAATATAACTTGACAAGTTAAATATAAATTATTTGTGTAAGATCATATTTTAAGATAAATTTGTTCTACTGGGATTACCTGTGACTGGCTGCATAAATCAAATATGGAACAGCATAGCAAGCATCACAGCTTCCAGTATTGCAAAGCCAAGATAGATCCACCACCTGAAAGAGATGAATTAACCCATGAAGCTTAAAGCCTTCAACATGTAATGTTAACTATAATGTAAATGGAAAGGAATTCATGAGTACTTGCCTCACTGCTTGAAATGAGTAGATAGACACACATATAACTCTTGATCTTCTCATGACCATCTAAGCCTTCCTTCCGCAGCTTCACTAATTAAGAAATCACGTGACATTTATTATAATTACCACCAAGCACAAGGCTAGCTCATTACAAAGATATAATGGTTATCTTGAGAACAATTTCAAGGCCGTAGCTATGCTTTCAACTTCCGTACATAATGCATTTGCTAATTGCGCGTCCATTTGCCAAACAAATACTACTCAAAAGAATGTATTGTTAGATTTAAATGTTCGGAAATACGTGTAGGCAGATTGTGCTACCTAGAAAGGATAGCACCTAGCCGGAAGTTCTCTCAGGTAAATCCAGCATTACTTCCTGATTTATGTCTCTTTTAATCCCCCTAAACCTAGGGAGAAGAGGATTGAGAAGCTATTGAGCAACTTCGAGCATGGAGGAGTCAGATTCAGGAACAGATACCATTATTTCCACGTCTAAGGGAAGAAAGGTAGGTCTTTGGAGCCTTGCTGAGGCAGGACAGCAGAGAAAGAAAAGAGATCGATGGACCTATGGGCTCTGAACAAGCTGCTTACAAGTGGCTCACTTCATTCAAAACCCCACTACAATTGCGCAACACAACTTCCAAATTAGCACATCAACTTGTTTAAACACTACGAAAGAGAATACAAGGTGATGTGGACATGAATTACATCATTCACGACCATCAAACAACAAAATCTCCATGACAAGCGAATTACAATAGTATGAAAAAATAAAGATAACAAGAACACTATACTAACAGCAATTAGTAAAACCATCCAATATTACAATATTGTCACTGTCCTTGTCTAAAATATGCTGTCTTTCATCAAACATTAATCCTTAACATTCACATGTTTAGAAATATCCTCCCCGACGAAAAATTAGAAATCACTTTCCTTACCATGTTGATGACTTTGTTCAAACTGAGCCAAAAGTCATAAAACATCATGCAACTTCAGAACTTGAGGAATGCTTTAAAAAATCTACCAGAAGCCAAAGAGCTCAATAATGGAATAAATTAAGAAACAATATGAAAGCTCTCTGAAATTTCTTTCAAGCATATTAATGAACAAAAAGTCGTAGGCTAAATGGTGGATCAAATGTCGATGAACGGGGACAACTCTAGTCAGGCACTGAAAGATCTAAAACCTAAAAAATCATGCCAATTGGATAGAAAATGAAGGATTTACAACCGAAGTCGGAGGAATTAATATAAGACCTAAATACATTTTTCTTTCATGTCTATTTTAGAAAATATAGTAATCCAGTATTTGAAGAAAAATGGTCTGCAACTGAAATTCCCCTCAATAGTTCATCAGTCAACCACTTATTTTATGTGATTAACCTTAAGTTGGAGTTAAAAACTCAGAACTAGTAAACTCCCTCAAGAAATCATTACATTCGAAACTTGATATCAGCAAACCAAACAAACATCCATATCTTTAAGACCCTAATAACCATGTTTGGGCAAATGTCCAATAACTATTTATTTGGCATGTATTAAAACAGGCATCTAATTCTTGAGTTCTAGCATGTTGGCTGTGCTTAAAATCAAATTATTTTTGCTGCCTTTTTTATAAAGGATCTACAAGTTCAACCTATGAAACTATTTCCCAAACTATAGTACTTAGTTAGCAGATGATACCATCAGTGACAATCCACATCACTTGAACTGAATTACTAAAAATCAGATAAACCATAAGTACCAAAAGACTTAAAAATTAATTTCTGCAAAGGATTTGTTCTTCTACATTCTCAGCACCAGGTGATTATTTCCTTACATAATCCAAATAATAGAGAAGACATTGACAAACAAAATAGCGATGTAACCACGATTATGACATAGAATCAAGCATCATCACCCTCGCCAGCCCTCCCAGCAAAAGGATCATGAGAAGGACCAGAATCCTGCCCAATATGGCGCTGCACAAGACGCTGCAAATCAGCCATAACCTTCTGCTCACGCTTGGACTTCTCCTCATAGTTAAACATTGCCAGTGCTCGTTTGTCCTCAGCGCTGTAAACTTGGTTTTCTTTTCTGATACGGATGGCATTCATTCTCTGATGCCTACTACCACTCATCACATACCCAAGAGTTTCAAACTTCTGAATCTCCTCAGCCGAAAGTCCCACTTCACCTCTGCGAGGAATACGCTTACCTTGCTGCACATACTGTGCAATGGCATCACCTTCACCGGGCCTAAGTGCACCACCATAACTAATGTGCCCTTCCGCCCTTGGTAAAGGCAATGGCCCAACCAGTGGTTCATTATCCAAAGTCATCTTGTTCCTAGACTCTATCATTTCCTTAAACTTAAGCAACTCTGCATTATTTTCATCACCTACATTAGCCTCATCTACCTTCTGCTTAGCATTCTTTCCATCAACTTCAGAATCAGAGCTACTTTCATCAGCATTGGAACTCTCGCCGTCAGATTCATTCTTCTTGCTGCTTTGAGACTTCAAAGATGAGGCGTACTTCCGCTTCTTCGACTTACCATGATCGCTAGCATCGGAATCCTCAGTTTCACTCTCATCAGTCTCGCTTTCACTTGAATAGCTCCTTCTTTTACTACTGCTCTTCCTCCTCCTAGTACTCCCAGACCTCTTACTTCTCCTACTCGAGAAAAAGAAGCTAAAACAGGATCGCCTTTTCCTAGTTTCTTCTTCTGGGTCCTCATCATCACTGGACTCCTCCGACCCACTCTCACTGTCAGATACATCTTTTGATCTCCTCCTG